TTAAATCAAAAGAATAAATCCTACATAGGTAATGATACTTCTAACACTATTCTCAGGCAGTTTTTTAAAGGGCAAAATTTGAATAGATAAGTTCATCGATAAAGTTAATAAAAAGGATGTTTCTTTTTCGTCTTCTGAGCTGCAGTTGGCTGCAAACTCATTTGCAGCAGTAGGAGGCAAAGTTGTTGATCGTGTCCAGCTAAACTTGAGTGATCTGGCCCCGGCTGATATGCAGCAGACGCAGTAACTTTACACTGCAGGCACATGGTCTGGGGGATGCCTGGATATGTTTTCTTCTGCTCAGGCCAGCATCGACCAGGCTGATGGTGCTTTGGTTGTTTTTCTTTTTTTTTTAATGATGACACAGGGCTGACATATAAGAAATTATCACTGATATTATTTTTACTGCTGTATTGATGGGTAGTTCTGCTGCATTTTCAAAATAACTTAAGGTTGCAAAATTTCCGTCTTGGTGATTGGACATTCCAAATTGCTCTTAGGGGTGAGTGTGAGTGGTTGTCTGTCTCTGTGTGGCCCTGCGATGGACTGGTGAACTGTCCAGGGTGTCCCCCCTGCCTCTCGCCCATTGAATACTGGGATAGGCTCCACTTCCCCCTTCGACCCCATTAGAGAATAAGCGGTAACGATAATGGATGGATGGAATTTCTGTCTTGTGCTGTTATCAGATGCGGCGATAAAATGACATTCACATTTGAATGCAAAAACATAACCAGTGAAAATTATCTATAGAAGATTTTTTTTCAGGTCAGTTGAATATTTTTTTCTGTCAATGCATTCTTCCATTTAAAAGCTTTCAGAAAATTCAGTTCTGTTCACAGCTCAAGGTAACATGTCAGCCCACACGGCTACTGTAGAGAATTACTCCCTCCTGCCCGCGTCAATCACCGCCAACTTTGGTTATTAGTATTTTAGTGATGACTGCACTTCACATAGGGAGGCGCCTACAAGATCACATTTTTTAAATGTTTATCCATAGTCATCTGCAGGGTTTCCCCAAAAAGAGACAGTAATCTGGTGGCAGATTTTAAGTTAAGTTTTTTTTAAATCAAAATTTGCATTAGGCTAAATTCAAGTTGACTTTTATTAGTAGTTAACATCATATTCACAATTTTTTTTAGAAGTTATTTCCTTTTTATCTTGGATACTTTAGAAGTTGTAGAGTAAACTGCACCAAACATCAGACACGTAATGCTTCCTAAATGATGTCGGTATAAAAATAGGACCACGTCACCTTTGCTTAATCTATCCTTCCACTAGCACACATCATCCTCGTGATACAGCAATACATCTCTTTTTGTTCTTTCATCCACTGTGCCTATTTCTAAAGGAAAAACCAACAAAGTAGAAGAAGGAATAGTCTAATTAATTGTAGCATAATCCTCAAAGACATGTTAATCCTGTGAACACATCTAGTAAAATCCTATCTTGTAACGCAAAGGAAAAATCATCTATTTTAGGTGCTTGCACATTTAAAGGTCACATTTAATTTACCAACTCCCACATCATCTGCCTCCATGTACTGACTGGTGGGTAGTGGCTGTCACAAACTGACAGAAAAAGTTTAGGGACACTTAAACAAAAAAAAGAAAGACATTTTTGTTTAGTTTTTTTTTAATTATTTCTGTATTTGTTGTTAGTGTTTTTTCTTGGATGAATGATCAATATGCCTTTTTAGAAAATGTGCCCGAAACACGGCGCAACACATTTGCCTAGTTAATGATAAAAGAAGTGTGTGACTTTGATGTGCATCTTGTGGTGCTCTTCAATATCCCTCAAGACACTCAAAAGGCTTCTCGACTGCTAACATAACTTGCCAGATGTGATCGATGAGTCACTGGCGTAATCACAAGCATTTGTACTACAACAATGAGCTTCCAAAATCACTAATGACTTTTTTCGTACTTTACACACAAAGGACCAAATTGAAGAGACTCGAATGGCATTCATGTATTTTCTGTTATCATTAAAAATCCCAATTTATAAATACAGATTGACCAAATAACACTTAGCTCAGAAATAGTCAAATGGCCTAGTCTTATCTTTACTTTTCTCAAACACACATCTTAACTTTCATATTTTACAGTTGATTAAAAACTATTTTAAATGAATGAATATAATATGATTTCTGGATTTATTCTGGATTTTGCTTGGATTTTGGTCCTTTGTTTCGTGTTTACTTTTCTCCACTAAGATTTTTATTTTCATTAAGTGCCTCTTGAGGTTTTTATGGTCTTTGCCAAGGTCTCCCACCCACAAGCTTGGATTGGGTGGGTGTGAAAGTAGAACAGATTATGTAAGAGATAAATGTTAAAAATAAAGTTTCTGGGGGGCAATTGTGGTTAAATCCACTGTGAATGGATTTCACTTTAACTGGCTTTGCAAAACGCACAGAAAACAAATACAAGACAGATGCTTCTTAGAGTCAGTTGTGAATTGCTCTGAAATGTTCTTTCCATTCCAGGGACTAAAGCATGGTACACCTGCAGAGTCCCCAACAATGATCTTCGCCACACCCACCAAGGTGGTGTCAGAAGCAGGGTCCACGGTGGAGTACATGGGAGCTAACAGGGTCCCTGACCTCCAGAAGTTATTCCAGGTAGGAAAGGATGATGAAGGCAACTAAATGTCTCTTCTTATAACTTTCACTTGTTTGTTTTTTCTCTTTGTTTTTCTTTTATTTATCGAATGTTTCTCAGTTATATCGGTGCAGATTTATTATTTTTATTAGAAAATGACTGGTGTTCATTTCGATTGGCCTTCCTGCCACTCCCACCCAACCCACCAATACATTAAAAAAGAGGGGAAAAGCGAGACTGCCGTTGTTGGAACAATCACTCATCTGAATGGAAATTACAGTGTCAACTGCAGAGATTTGGCTAATGCCTAGAATATTTATTTTTAAAGGGGAAGGCCTTCCATTCAGACATTAAAAAGGCTTCAGATAGCACTTTGGTTAAAAAAAAAAAATAACACACTCTTTTCACACTCTTTCAAATAATCATGGAAACCCTACTAAGATTTCATATTGTAGAATATTAAGGTCTTTTTGAGTATTTAAGAAGTTGTAAAAGAATGTGTTTAAATATTGATGACTGTCTGACACTGCGAATTGAATTCTCATAACTCTGCCACAACTTCACACCTTCTTTTCTTTTTTTTTCGTTTTCCCTTCACGCCTGCTCCCACCTGTTTGCCTTCCTCAGACATCAGACGGCGTCCCTATTCATTTGAAGCGCGGCGTTCCCGACAGGCTGCTGTACCGCACCACCATGGCGCTCACAGTCGGAGGCGTCGTCTACTGCCTGGTGGCGCTTTACATCGCCGCCCAGCCCAACAGAAAGTGAACAGCGCCAGCCCAGGATCCTCCTGTCTCGCCTCTGACTTGTTGCCGCTGCAGCCAACAAAAAACACTCACGGTCTCCGTCTGCCCTGGCAGCACCACCTCTCGGGACTCTCCTCGGATGAGAATTTATCACTAGCAGCAGTGGTTCTCAAACTAGATCAGGCCATCAGGGCCCGGGGTAAAAGCAGCTTTCGATTAAGTCAAATTTAGCTCTGTGAATAGAATTCGACGAGTAAAGTAAAAACAAGAGTTTGCATATTTTATTGCACAATGCCTTGTTGATGATTTACTTGATTCCATTACATTCAGAACCCTTTATTAGTTACCTATTTTATTATTACTAGTCATTCCTGGAAAACATGGGGAGTATGAACCTTTTTATTTTGGCCCACGAAGGGTTTAAGAACCACTGCACTGTCAGGACATCAAACCAATGATTACAGTGAAAATGTCTGTCCTCTTCACATCAAAGATGTCTAAGTTAATAAATTTTATGGGGAAAAATGCTTTGATCTAAGTCTGTTTCCTT